ACACACACACACACACACACACACACACACACATACACATATAAATAATTTTTTTTTTTAAGACTGGGTCTCCCTCTGTCCCCCAGGCTGTAGTGCAGTGGCACAATATCGGCTTGCTGCAAACTCCATCTCCTGGGGGTCAAGCAATCTACCTACCTCAGCCTTCCAAGTAGCTGGGTCCATGGGTGTGTGCCACCACCTCCAGCTACGTTTTGCATTTATTTATTTATTTTTTCGTAGAAATGGAGTTTTGCCATGTTGCCCAGACTGGTCTTGGATTCAAGCAATCCATCAGCCTCGGCCTCCCAAAGCGCTGGGATTACAGGTGTGAGCCACCATGCCCGGCCAACACTGCCAATATTAGCCAGCAAATACATTCTTCACAAATCTCAACTCATTATTGAGTTACAACGAGCTAAATTTTAATTTCCATTTTAATATTCTTACCGTTTCATACTGAGCAATTCAATTGGTTGTCGAGCAGCCAGTCTTTCAAATTCATTTCTCATTATGTCAGTCTGATGTGTAAATCAGAGAAAGATTTTTAAGATCATGTTGACCATTGAAATTAACAATCACCAAAGAACAAATTTAAGCTACTTAGATATTTATTCTTTATACTACCCATTATAATCAATCATTTACCTTCCCCTAATTCTTCTCTGGGTTAAAAGCTGTCTAGAATCTGGAACGAAAACACGCATACAGATACACACACACACACACGCTTCATATTCAGCTTAGGCGGGAAAAGTGGCATGTATTAAGGAGCCTACAGAGAAAAAGATTAATCCTAAACCAGTGGTTCTCAATTCCAGCAGCATATCAGAATCAGCTGGACAGTGCTATGGTTTGAATGTTCATCCCCCTTGAAACTCATGTGGAAACTTAATCCCCAATGTAACAGTATTAAGAAGTGGGGCCTTTAAGAGGTGATTGGGTCATGAAGGCTCAATCCATTCATGGATTAATGAGTTATCCCTAGAGTAGATCTGTTATAAAAGCCAGCTTGTCTTTTGTGTACCCCACCTTGCCGTGTAATGCCTTGTGCTTCTTCAGGACTGTACACCAAGTCCACATCAGCAAGAAGGCCCTTACCAGATGCAGCCAGTGAACCTTAGACTTTCCAGCCTCCAGAAATGTAAGAAATAAATTTATTTTCTTTATATTCACTATCTTCTCTAGCAGTTTTACTATTTGCAATTAAACGTAGTATAGCTATTCTCCTTTGGCCAACATTTTGGCCCATATCCTATCCCATTTCTGTTCTGCACATTTCCTACCCTGAGTATAAATAACTGCTTAAAATATTCATTTATAGTAATACTTTGGTTATTCTATGTGATTTTAATTTTCTGAGGGCTTCAACTACCTTAACAATTAGACTAGAGAATAAGTATCAAAGGCCTTACAGAAGCCTGCATTAATGTTTAAAAGTTTTGTATTAAGCATTTCTTTCTAGAGAAAGCATTTTGCCAGGGCTACTGCTAAATTACACACAATCTTAAGAAAATGTAGTTATCTAGTTTCTTTTTTTTCTTTTCTCTCCAGGACATTCTAGCTAGAAAATTCTGCAGTGACAGACAAGGAGCAACAGCTAATAATTAGATAAGAGGCAGTATAAAAATGCGGTATAAGTGGTCTTGGGCCATGTGGCACAGGAGGGACACTTATCTCACATGGTCAGTAACTGACAGATCTGGAATTTTAGCTCAACTCTCTCCAAAGACTAAGCCAGTGTTCAGGGAGCTAAGTCATAGAAGAAAAAAAAATCCCTGCTCATGGAGTAGTCTCATCTCAGCTTTGAGAGGTCTTCCTCAACCACCCAACCTAGAGTCACCCAGTCAGTTTATCACTATCATTCTCTGTCAGCATTTATCAGCAATCTGATATTTTCTGATCTATTTATTGTCTGTCTCAATACTCCAGGTTGTAAGGTTCATGAGTATGGACCCTGCCTATCCTGTTCTCCAATACCCAGCATGGAACAGACCTTTGTAAATAGTTGTTAAATGATTTAATGAAAAGAGTAATTTCAGAGGCAGTTTGAGGAACGGTTAAGGTCTTGGCCAATTAGCCTCTCTAAGCTGCAGTTTTCCCAGCTAAAAAATGGGGATAGCAGGCTGGGCGCAGTGGCTTACACCTGTAATACTAGCGCTTTGGGAGGCCGAGGCGGGCGGATCACAAGGTCAGGAGTTCGTTTGAGACCAGCCTGGCAATATGGTGAAACCCATCTTTACTGAAAATACAAAAATTGGGGCCGGGCGCGGTGGCTCAAGCCTGTAATCCCAGCACTTTGGGAGGCCGAGGCGGGTGGATCATGAGGTCAAGAGATCGAGACCATCCTGGTCAACATGGTGAAACCCTGTCTCTACTAAAAATACAAAAAATTAGCTGCGCATGGTGGTGCGTGCCTGTAATCCCAGCTACTCAGGAGGCTGAGGCAGGAGAATTGCCTGAACCCAGGAGGCGGAGGTTGCGGTGAGCCGAGATCGCGCCATTGCACTCCAGCCTGGGTAACAAGAGCGAAACTCCGTCTCAAAAAAAAAAAAAAAAAATTGGCTGGGCGTGGTGGCGGGTGCCTGTAGTTCCAGCTACTCAGGAGGCTAAAGCAGGAGAATCGCTTGAACCCAGGAGGCGGAGGTTGCAGTGAGCTGAGACTCCACCAATGCATTCCAACCTGGGTGACAGAGTGAGACTCCATCTCAAAAACAAAATGGGGATAGCAAACATCGTTATATAGTGTATAGGGCTGTTTTGTGCACCAAGTAAGAAAGTGAGCCCAGTATACATTAGCAACTGTTGCTAAGAAAGGATGCTGGGCACGGTGGTGGCTCACACCTGTAATCCCAGCACTTTGGGAGGCTGAGGCGGGTGAATCACTTGAGGTCAGGAGTTCAAGACCAGCCTGGCCACAATGGTGAAACCCCTTCTCTACTAAAAATATAAAAATTAGTTGGGCATGGTAGTACATGCCTGTAATCCCAGCTACTTAGGAGGCTGAGGCAGGAGAATCGCTTGAACCTGGGTGGGGGAGGTTGCAGTGAGCCTAGGAGTTGCACTCCAGCCTGGGTGACAGAGCAACACTTCATCTAAAAAAAAAAGAAAGGATTAATAACCAGTAAACCAGTAAACTAATTACAGAAGAATCACTTGAACCCAGTTTACTGATTATTTAATACAAAGGTATTTAAGAGAGAGGGGAAAAAACTGGTGAAAGTACTTTAAAAAGTCTGATTCAATGCAATTATTTGAAACCTTCAGAAATTGGTCCAGTAAGGAGCATTATTGCACTTAGTTCTTAATGTGGTTAACATCTACATTTAGGTAACAATATATAGAAAAAGCATAGGAAAATATGTTCATAGGAACATGTGTCTTCTACTTAAAACTTAACCAAGGCTGGGCGTGGTGGCTCACACCTGTATCCCAACACTCTGGAAGGCCAAGGCAGGCAGATCACCTGAAGTAAGGAGTTTGGGACCAGCCTGGCCAACATGCTGAAACCCTGCCTCTACTAAACATACAAAAATTAGCCAGGCACAGTCCTTGAGGTTGCAGTGAGCCGAGATGGCACCACTGCACCCCAGCCTGGGTGACAGAGCGAGACTACATCTCAAACAACAACAGCAACAACAAACTTACTAACAATTTTTTCATGTTACTTTAATGTTAATATTGTCTTTTTATATTTTCTTTGAGACAGGGTCTTGTTCTGTTGCCAGGCTGGAGTGCAATGGCATGATTGTGGCTCGCTGTGGCAGCCTGTAACTCAAGCAATCCTCCCACCTCAAGAAGTTCTCCCTCTACCTCAGACTCCTGAGTAGCTGGGACTACAGGTGCACGCTACCATGCCTGGCTAACATTTTAATTTTTCTTTTGTAGAGACAGGGTCTCAATATGTTCCCCAGGCTGGTCTCAAGTGATCCTCACACCTCAGCCTCCTAAAGTGCTGGGATTACAGGTGTGAGCCACCACACCCAGCTAAATACTGCCTTTTAATACCATAATCCTTTAATAAATAAACAGGAGTAATGGGGGAGAAAACCTCCAAGCTATACATATTGAAATACTTGAATCCAGTAATTTAGAAATAATATCTTAGATTTCATTTAGCTAATGAGACCCTAAAACTAGAACCTTGGGTGTATTTCAAGGTTATACATTTAAAATAGTTATCTACTCACTGTGTGGAGTAGAACAGCATCTGACTCCCTAGGCAAGCACAGGCACTCCGTTCTTTTCTTTCTTTCTCTCTCTCTTTTTCTTTTTAATTTTGAGATGGGGTTTCACTCATGCTGCCCAGGCTGGAGTATAATGATGCAATCTTGGCTCACTGCAACCTCCGCCTCCCGGGTTCAAGTGATTCTCCTGCCTCATCCCCCCGAGTAGCTGGGATTACAGGAATGCGCCACTGCGCCGCCTAATTTTTTTGCATTTTTAGTAGAGATGTGGGTTTCTCCATGTTGGTCAGGCTGGTCTCAAAACTCCCCACCTCAGGTGATCCACCTGCCTTGGCCTCCCAAAGGGCTGGGATTACAGGCATGAACCACTGCGCCCAGCCTGGTACTCCTTTCACTAATCCTGTTGTCCTTATACATACCTCCACTATAGGTCCTTTACATATTATTACACATTTATACATACTATTGTAAACTTTTTGTTTTATATATCTAGCTTCTCATTGTATTGTATTTTTCTGTATTCAGAAGCCCTATCTTTTGTGAAGAGGACTTTTGTTTTAGAACAAAATATATTTTTTTAAAAAGTATCTTTTTATCGCTATGATCTCAGAATCTAGAACAGCACCTACCGCTTAGAAAGTATTTATATCAGTGAAAGTTCTTGCCTACATTAATCAGAAATGTATTAATAAAAACACTGGATAGATTATGGAACAAAGGAGAAGGCTGAGAAAAAAGCAGTATACACTTGAATATGGTTTGTCCTTTCAGTCACATAACATACATTTGATAAATATCTAGACTTTAATAGGCCAATCTCCAGTGGTTCTAAAGAGCTTAGGTAATTAGGCTTACACATATTTAAAAACTCTAGATCACTTGCTGTAGAGTGAACCCTGTCAGGAGAGGGTCCCTTTGAGAATTTACGCATGGGCCCTATCTCAACTGTAGCCACAAATATTTTGCATTAAGTGAGTTCGTGGAGCCCCAGAAAGTCTTCCTATGGATCTTAGAACACGAACCCCGGAGAAGACTTATTTATCTATGTTTTTAATGGACTGATATCTATACAATAAGCAAGTAGTAGCTATGCAAGCAATAGTTAAAACTGGAATTTAAAAATCACTTTTACCTAGCTAAAGCTCACAATCCAAAACAAAGGTTCACAGGAATCCTCGTTCATACTTGGGCTCAAGACACACTTACTTCAAAGGCAGAATAATCCGGGGCTGTCAGGTAGCTCAGGTAGTTCTTAGTAGGTCGGTATCTGCGAGTTTCCTCCTCCACCAGCGCTGCAGCCTAAAAACGAGAATCGGGGGCCAGGGTAGAAGCGGCAAATTGTAACAAGTTTCTTTCGCTTGTTACAGCCAGCGAGCAGTGAGTCGACTACACAGACATCCCGCACTCACCGCTTCCCGCACACCAGGAGCTTCATAACCTTGATCAAAATACGGCAGCGCATCCACCACAACCTCTCCAGCCACCAAACCCGTGCCCGCCATTGTGGAAAACTCAGATTTGGCTGCGTTTTCTTCGTGTGCGTAAATTCAGTTCT